TATATATAAACACTCCCATTGCGTTGATTCCGACTCATAACAACCATATAGAACAGAGTAGAACTGCCCCATAGGGTTTCCAATGTTGTAAATCTTTACTGAAGCAGCCTGCCTCATCTTTTTGCCAAAGAATGGATGGTGGGTTCCAACTGCCAACCTTTTTGTTAGCAGCTGAATGCCTTAACTACTGCACCACCAGAGCAATATATGATATGCAAGGAAGTGAACAAATGTGACACACACACACACACACAAAAAAAAACCTGAACAAAGCACGAATGGGAATCTGTAAGGACTTAATAGTCAATTTCTTTGTTACATAAGTAGGCATGTGGGAATATTTAAGAAAATGTGGAAGAGAAAATTAAAAATAATGTCTCACAAGATTGTTCTAAAATAATAAATTTGAAAATACTCTCAAAACTAAACTCTTACAAAAATATAAAGTAGCATGATTAGTTAATGATCCTAAACAGAAAACTTCCCTGCAGAATTAGTTTTTCACTTGATCTGTGTATATATGTGTGGAAATAAATATATAAGAAACCCTGGGAGTGACTGCTTCTTAAAGTCAACCAGATGTGACTGAATGCAGCAGAGGTACAAGGATAATATCAACCATCCACACATTTAACATTATTGATGTAGAATAGCCCTTCTTGCACCTGTGTGTAACAGACTGGTATCAAAACATTCAATTCAAAAAAAAAAAAAAAAAGGCTTGTGCTATTTGATTTGTTGATATGGATTTAGAATTTTTTTAAAATGTTTTTCAATAGTCACTTTTGCGTCATATAAAATATCAACATCTTGATGATACCTTTGAGAGAAATTAAGCTTTAGCATAGGAATCCTTGGGTAGTGCAAATAGTTAACCACTCAACTGCTCGCTGAGAGCTTGGCAGTTCAAATCCACCCAGATGTCCCTTGGAAAATGGGCCTGCCGATCTGCTCCCAAAAAGGCACAGTCTTGAAAATATTATGGAGCAGTGCTACTCTGTACATATAGTCACCATGAGTCATAATTGACTCAATGACAACTAACAACAAGCTTTAGCATGCACAAGAAAAGATGCCTATTTTCAACTTTGTGAAGCAGCTTCTAGTTACTTTCAAATTTTGCACCCTATGCTGTTTCCAAGGTGCATGCAAAGTGTTTTAGTTCTCTAGTGCTGCTATAACAGAAGTACCACCAATGGATGACTTTAACAAACAGGGATTTATTTTCTTACAGTTCAGGAGGCTAGAAGTCCTAGTTCAGACTGCCAGCTCTAGGCGCTAGGTGAAGACTCTCGACCTTGACTTCAGCTCTGCCTCTTGCTCCCAGCCCACTGGATCTGGAGGCTTCTCTTAACTCAGGCAGCTGCTAGATGTTAAGGCTGACAAACCCAAGGTTGAAAAGTAAAATGGCACAGTCCCAAGATTACAAGCAACTTGGCAGGGTACTAGTTCAAGCTCAGAAACAGTTTCAAGATGTGCAAGAAACATGGCAGGCCACTGACATGAAGACTCAGCCAAATGCAGGTTCCAAGCATGCCAAAAAACTCAGAGAGCTTTCTCAAAGCTTCTTCTTATATACTGGAAGCAGACCACAGTCCTAAGGCAGCTACTTAGCTGCTCACAGTAGGTTCCACCATGGAGCTGATTACCAGTCTTATTGTGGGGAATAACTTTATCCAGCTGCACAACCACTCAAAACCAGGCCCAGCCAAATTGACACATAACCTTAACTACCACAGAAAGCCTAGAAAACTCCCCAATAGGTGTCTTGTAACTAGTTATATTTGAGCTTTTCAAAGCAAAAATTATTGTTCTGGATGCTAAAATTCATTGATTGAAACACCTACCCTGTGTACATTGAAATATAAACCCACACGCTATTAAAAAGGAGGTTGTGGTGGTCAGTGGGGCTCCTTGAAGAACCCTCCAAATGCTCTCAGAGAAAAGTGATCTCTAAGAAATAAAAATAAAAAAGGAGTTTTGGGTACAATCTGATTTATGGTATAGACCATAGGGTATGTAGAATATTTATTATAACAAATAAAATATATATAGTGTCATATCATTATATGTAGTTTTTCTCCTGAAATATGTTCTTCCATTTTATCATTTTAAAATGCAAAATCCTTTCTTCAATAGTTTCATCCAGATCCACTGTGCTTAGATGAGAGTGTTAAATAGCAACATTGTTAGCAAAAGACATCTTTTAAGCATTAAAAAAATGATATTATCCCAACCTTATAATTCCAAATAACGATATTAGATTGAACATGTCAACTCAAAAGAGTTGTAGATTGCTATTACTTATCAAGGACTCTCATTATCCCTCCTGAACCACTCAACAATCCCATGAATATGTATTGTTACCCCATGGACATAACTTTTGGACTATACTTTTTTCTGGCACTAAACTTTTTGTCCCAAATGGAAAGGATTGATACGTCTTTTTCTCTTTCTTTATAAAATAAACTAATGTTCCTTGGTGAGAAAATAGAAAAAAGTAATTTCAAGACTGCAATGAATGAAGAGTTTTATGAGAAAACAGACATATAGCTTCACATATGTCTTAAGCATATATATATTTTCTGAACAAATATATAATTTCTCATTGATTACAGTTATTATATGACAAGGGGAAATTGGAGAGCTCTTTGAAACATGGCAGTAAATTCATTTTCCTTGCAGATCTGATGGCATTGTACTTTTTATCCAAATATAAGGCTTTTACTTTTTTCTTTTTGTCCACAGTCACAGAAAGCATCCCCTAAGCAAAGGAAGCAGAGCGTGTACACACCACCTGCCATGAAAGGTACTGTTCAAGTACAGTCTTGGGTTTCATGAATGTGGAGTATATGGCTGATAGGCAGTCTGTTCTCAAGGACCACACCTTTGATCAGAATCTAGATCTTGTAAGCTATATAACTCAATAGTTCTATGACTTCTTGTAAGATATATTATCCATTTAAACCTTAGTTTCATAAAGAGTAAAGCTGGTGGTTGAAGAAGGAAAACTAGAGATGTCTCTGAATCTCACCTTGGCAATCCAGAGCTTTCAAAATGAGGATAAAGATTTTTCTTTTACCCTTTCTCACATGTATTTTCTTTTATGGGGCTTTTCCCAAAGCTGTAACTACTCTTTTCAATATTGGTAGATGACTGTCATTTTCTTTTCTTTTTTTGTCTTAAGCAAAACAGAGTAACTTGAATTTTGGAGAGATTTAACGTAAAATATTGCCTCCTTGCCTTGTGTCAAGAGAAGCTCGAAGAAACCCAATCAAATAGCTATTAACTGTACATTTAACAGCTGTTGAAATAACAACTAAGTATGCTAGTTCATATTCTGGCATTTTCTCGGAATTTTTCCCCAAATTTGGAACTGCTGAAAGAACATCTAAGTGTGTTGGTATTTCAACCAACATCAGTTCCAGGGAAGGCTTATTTTATTTCTCACACAGAAATGTTCCTGACACGAGTCAGAGTCTGTCCAATCCAGTAGCTTATGTTCCAGTCTGGCTCTTGGGCCATTGGCCCAGTGGTTCATCGTGCAGTAAGTAGTCTAACTCAGCTTCAACAGCAGGAGAGGCCAGCTGAGTAGCTTCCTCTGGAGTTTGGAGAGATGTCTAAATTAGGAGTGAAATTTTCCACTCTGTATTCTCTCTAGATTTGGGGACTATTCAGAGGCTATAAATGGACATATTAATATTTTAAACTTCCTTCCTGTATAGCTATAAAACACCATGTTTGCTCACTCATAAGACTATGTAAATAATATGATCACCCACATTGTAGTTCATTCCAGTTAATTGAGACTATTAACCATTCTTTGAAGATAAATGTAATTATTTCCAAGCTATTTTTCCCTATTGTGAGTGATTTTGTTTGTTTAAGATATATCAGTTTTGGCCATCAAAGATATATGTTCTTTTAAAAGACATGTGTCTTTTAAGACATATTATGAATAGGCATGAAAGATATATGTTCACCCATTTAATGATTTCCTCTGTTCTATTTTGGGTTAGCTTAACTCAATAAAATATTACTGTTTTCATGTTCCTCAGAGAATAATAGTATTATTTTTAAAAGAAAATCTTAAAATCAAGGTCCCTAGGGCTCATGGTTTCATTATATTTAGCCCTGAAATACCATAAGACTGTGAGATCCTAACATTTAGAGAAGTTAGTACTGTTGTTTATTTTTACATATAATTTCACTACCGTCAAACCCTCCAAGATTGTCATTCAATTGCAGTCATTTTAATCATGAGTTAAATGCTTGAGAAAGCATAGTAATTATTTTAAGAGTCTATCAGGATGTTACTACAAACCTTTATGTCCTCATTTATAACCAGTAAATACCTACCTCCATCTCCCACTTGTAATAAAAGACAAGAGAAAGCTAAATCCAAATGCTTTCTTTATTCTGCCTGTCCCTGAGAGTTAGAAATCAATATTTCAAGACAAAATTAAGCAGTGGTAACATATGGTGCAATGTGAGCACATTAAGAAGTTTTAACCATAAGAATTATGAATCAGCAAAGGAAATGTTATTGAAATGCTAACACAATAATATAATTGATCTGAAATGTGGATTTTTTTTCCTAACAATCCATACATATTCTGTTTTGTGATATTGACTACAATCCCACACTTTAACAACATTCTTCCCACTTTCTCCCTATGCCCAATCCTTTCTTTTTTCATCCCTTTCCATCCCCACTCACCTTCCCAGCTTGATCTCTGGGAAAATGCTATCTTCTTCATCTCATATGCTTGATTGTTCTAATGAACAATATAATCCTTATATTACTTTTTTTCTTATAGACCTCTCTATCATTTGGCTGACAGTTGAGTCACAGGGGCTAAGTTTAGTTCCTAGCTTGAAGTGTGTCTAAGGGCCACAGTCTTGGGAGTTCCACCCGTCTTCGTCAAACCAGGGATCCAGATCTTTATTATGATTTTGAGTTTTGTTCCACATTTTCTTCTATTCTATCCTGGGTCTCTTATTATGACCCCTTTCAGAGCAATTAAGAGTGGTAACCAGGTACCATCTCATTCTTCTGGTCTCAGGATAGTGGAGGCTGGGGTTCACATGCTCCATTAGTCCTTTGGACTAATTGTTTGCTGCATCTTTGAAGACCAATTGCTGCACCTTAGATGGATGCTCACAAGCTTTTAAGACTCCAGTCACTACTTACCAAAGTGAAATGTAGAATTCTTAAAATGACAGTGGAACACACAATAATTGAGTGCAAAAGAGTTCATTGGGAGAGCAAAGTAGCAAAAATGTGATTTAATGGTTCATGAAGGATTCAATAAGTAACTGGTTACTTAAAAATAAAAAAACTAGAATCCCCACTTTTCCTCACTTACTAGGTTATAAGGATTTATCAAGTACTGATCCCAAAGTGGCAGGAGGGGACGAGATTCTGAACCCCATTGTTTCATATTAATCCACAGACAGACCAATATCTTATCTGCTAAACTCATTTATTTTTCCCTCCTTTCAGTTCCCATGGTATTTACATCTCCTTTAGGTTTCAGGAAACAAGGACATGCCAAGTCACCTCTTATGATGAAGGATGAAGGTTTTCTATAAAAGTAAATGGGAAAGAATGGACTTCTGGTAAGATGGAGGAATAGGCAGACAAGCTACACTGACTATCTTCAACAAAGAAAAGAGAAACCAATTGACAGAGATACAGAAGATAATCCTAGATCCCTGAGCTTTGAAAGGAAGTATACAGAGGTAGATTAGGCACCAACTAGTGGAAAAACCCAAATGAAAACAGTGAGTACAGAGATGGTCAAAGCAGTGGACTGTCAGCTACTCTGACAGGACCAACAGCCTGAATATTTCCAAGTGGTATCGGGACCTGAGAGTTGACCTAAAGATCAGCCCTGGTCACCAAGAACCGCCAGGATGACTGTGCTGGTGGCCTATGACTACAGAGGGAAACAGCAAGAAAGGAAACAACCCGAGCTCTGGACTTTCAGCTGTCTGGAAGGTGCAGCCATTTTGATTGTTTACAAGCTGTGGCCATTTTGGATAATTAAAGTGGCTGATTGTCTAGCCATTTTGAATATTAATAGGGGCAGCCATTTGGGATATTTAAAGTGACTGAGGGCACAGTCATTTTGAATCTTTATAAGTGTTGACCATTTGGATTTTAAAGTGACATTCTTATTCAGATTCCAGGGCCCTAAGGACAGGCTCTGTTTGCCAAGGATGGCAGGGACATACAGGAGGCTGACAATGGGAAAGGAGACAGGTGGTGAGTGTATAAGTGCTGCCAATTAACGAATAGAGGAGCACAGCACAGTACCCTGCTTACATAGATAACATACAAAGAAAACAAAAATTGTGGGCAAGTCACTCCAACATACAATCATCAATTAAATATAAACACAAAAACATCACAATGCCTTGGAGACAACAGAGCCATCACAGTGCACACAAAGAGGCAGGATAAAGGAGGAGAAACAAGGGACCAAGATACAAAACCAAAAACACATCTCTGAGGAAGACGTAGCATTGGAACTCCCTGATAAGGAATTCAAAAGAATTATATTTAGGTATCTTCAATGAATTGAGAGACAGATCAAGGAAAACACCAACAAAATTGAGGAAAACACACAGAAAACCCTAGAATAATTTTGAAAGACAATACAAGAACAAAATGACAAAATAAG